GCATGCATGCGTGTGTGTGTGGCTGCTTGTACTTGTCCGGACTGATGCCGATTTATAGTGCTAGCACACGGAGATACTATGCCGCAGTCTAACATGAATACCCAACTCAGACACAGTATACTGACTCCGAGCCGACCAGTCCTTGTTTTAGCCCCTTAATGCCGAGCGCCAGACAGGGTAACAACAAGTACCATCTTTTGACGTCTTTTGGTATGACGCGACCGGAAATCGACTCCCGAACCTTCCGCTCACTGGGCGGACGCTTCGCATATCTCTCCAATCCTTTATTGACAAACAGTCACTGTTACTACTTGGAAAACTGTGCTGGTCCAGTTACAGCTATGTTTTTAAAAAGGTATTCATTACTCGCCTTGGGCAGTTTAGATACGAAATAGCGTTGGATAATCTCAGAAAACGATGTGCTTTGTCACCTGTATATAACATATATAGACTCGTCAAAATATACAATCTCTATGCAGAAATTGAAGATTATTTAATTAAATGTAGCTTCCCAAGTAAAAAGGCATGGTCTGATATTGTTAAGGAAAGGATTATTTTTGCAGACCAGGAAGCTGTATGCTCTAAGCTGCTATCTAGACTTAACTTAAATAGATATGTTTCGCTACGTAATGATAAAGAACATATCTGGCTGCTTGCACTTGAACGTCCTGAACAGTTTCAAACCTGTCTCATCTTGTACGGCTGGGATGCCTAAATATAGAATCTAGGGAATATCGATGTAGAATTGTAGCTCATGATATTATTAAGAATGTCTTTTTGTATTGTACATTGAATATGAATGACAGAAATGAATTATTTGAAATCATTTGTGATGTGATAGATGTCTCTACACTTGCAAGACTATGTAGTGAGGACGATGATATAATCCTGTCTGTACTACTTGGCGGTATGCCTGAGTGTGTTAGCGCTTAGTCCCAAAGTCTATGGGGTGACCTTGTGGTTATTGTGTCAAGATAATGTAGGAAATGGCTGTATCTGTTACAAAACAGTTATAAGAATGCTTGATTGTCATGCATTTTGTATTTATCATTTCTCATAATATTGTTAAATTGTACTACTATTATATGATATGTATCTTCAATATCTGGAGGAAATAATTAAAGAATATCTGTCTATCTATCATCGCCACTAGACCACGGAGGCGGTCTAAAGCCCGGAGTGACACAGTGACCCATAGATTAAACTCTCGAGCGCTCACGGATATGACAAAACAAGATCATAATCAGAGCGAATCTGGGATTCAAACTCACAATCATCGGATCCTAGAACGAATAAGGGACGCAACTCTCCACATGAAAAAGGCTAAATGCATGCATTGAAGAGAAAAGGGGGAAGGTATGGATATATTGTTATAGCATATACAACATAGGATGAATGCTCTGTTCGGTGCACACTACCATGAGCAGGCCTGTGTATTGTGTGAGTGAGTGAGTCTATGTTGTTTTACCCACTGGTGTGCATCAAACACTCCACAGTTTTAGATTCAGAAGGATTTTCTCTCTGTTTGATTATATGTCATGTAAGTCAAAATCAAATTACTAAACGACGTCTGGAAATTAGATTCATCGTAAATGTAGCTATTTTCGCCTTTTTAAGAAGTAAATAATTAAATCTACACTGATTCCTTGCGTTATTTCTTGTAGGTTTTGAAATGTAACTATCGGAAGGTTACTCAATTACAAAACTAGCACACTGGTGATCACAAGTATCTGCACTTTATCTGACGCTGAGTGAGTTGATGTCTCCACTTGAGACACCGAAACTTTTTAATCTTTGAAAAAACCCGACTAAGGGTAGTATGCAGGACAACCTACTCGCATGTCGGAATTATTGATTATCTATCTCGTGAAATAATGTTAAAAACGAATTCCCTAGGGGCAACAATTTCCATAATAATTCCTAATAGCTCGCAGGTTATTCTCTAAATCTTAGTTGAGGACTGCTGATTATCTTCGCCCACCACGACACTAATGTCATTTTATATCACTAGCTTGTTTATTTTGTCTAGAGTCGCTGACATTGCTTGACGTCTGTATAACGACAAACGGACATTATATTCAAACGATAACAGCGGTTTTGATTCTTTCCTCACTCGGGCCACTTTACGACTGTTGAATAACAAGGAAATGTAAAGTGAACTTTTGCAGGCTGCGAAGTCCTTTGAAAATACATGTCATCTCACATTTAAAACCCAGACGTTAACAACCGATCGATAGCCCGAAGTCCACCTACCAGCCAGTCGAGCGAAAAGCGGATGTGTTTAGCCCTGACATGAATGTATTGCACAATACCTATTTACTTCATGGCGAGGCTTTCACGCTGGTACGGGTGGGTATTGCGTGTGTGTGGCTCGTGTGAGGTGTTTGCAAACTGTGTGAAGGAAGCAGAGCACGGGAGACGTGGTGGTAAGTGTTCTTCGCTGTAAATGTATCCACATATCCTGCAGTCGATGTCAAGAACCGTAACCCGAGAGAATAATGCTGTTGTGTACGAGGACGAAATGAAATGAATTACACAACGAAGTGACTGAATTCTAGATTTACTCCAGAGCCAACTGAATTCTTACAAAACCCGTATAGGTTTATGAAACGGAGAATGCACATAAATGGAAAGTGATTTTACATTATATTTAAAACACCACATATTTTCCTTCTCCCCGGGGAAAGTCCAGGGAAAGTTTATGATATATGGCGGACTCAAACACTCTGTGTAATTTTTTTAAGGCCCCATTACACAGGGCTGCGACCTTTGTGCCACCTTCGCGCGATCAAAAACTGGCCAGGACGCTCAATGGTCGCCTAAACCCAGGAAATCATGTTTCTATGTAACTGATCCAGCAGTCGTTCAGCAGTAACTGCTCGAGTTGTTCAACGTCTGCAACAACAATGAAACACTGCAGGTACAAGCCCTCCATTTATAGGCAGGCTGAGGAGGCACTACAGGTAGCTCAAAGGAGGCAGAAAAGAGGCAGAAGCATTGCCTTGGTGTCTCAAGTGTTGCTGTGGTCGCCGAATGGAGGCACGGCGGTCGCCACACTCATCGTTCAATGCACGCTGTTGGTCGCCCAAAGAAGGCACAAGGGAGGCAGAAGCATCGCCCAGATTTACGGGACAATATTTCAGCAGAACGCATCTATTACCTGACGACCATTCTGCAACAACGGCAATGATTGTGCCTCACTTCTGCCTCCTTTGAGCCACCTTTCAGCAACCAACCTCCTCGGCGACCTTTGTGCGACTGTTTTGAACATGTTCAAAACTTCACAGCGACCATGGCGTCCATGGCGATGTCTCAACCTCCTGTGTACGACCTTGGAACGACCTAGGCAACAATTCTGCCTCCTTTGAGCTTCCAACGACGACCTGGCAAATTCTATGGTCGCACACGGGAGGCACAAAGGTCGCCATCCTGTGTAAAGGCCCCATAAAGGCCCCATTACACAGGGCTGCGACCTTTGGGAGGCCCCATAAGGAAACACAAATTAACCACAACAGTCATAGTCAGCCAGATAGGCAGGTCTCCTGATCATACGTTGTGGTCTTGGAGTCTTGGTCCCAGGATGTTCTGCTTGTGGTCTACTTGTATTGCAAGTCGCGAATGTTGACGAGTCAGTGCCGTCTGAAACAAACTTCCTGTTTTGATGGAATCAGACGTCTGGCATTCCAAGTGGTACCATCAGTCAACCGGTAGGAAGCGTTGTTCAATTGCTTCTCAACTTGCTTTGGTATAGACAAAGCTGACTGAAGCTTGTGTCCATGAATGGGACGCTTGGTGCGAACCCAATCTCCAGCCTTGAATGTTGGTACCTTGGATGAACGTGTGCTGTCTGTGTACAACTGTGACTTGACCAGTCGGCGAGTGATGTCAGAGGCATTCGGAATTTCGACTAACTTGTGTGGCACTGGTCTGAGTCTGTCCAGAGGGAGTTTGATGTTGCGACCAACCATCAGCTCTGCTGGTGTTTGCTTTGTAAGAGCATGACGCGTATTTCTGTAGGTCAGCAAAGTAGTTTGGATTGCCTCTGACTGACTTCCCTTCTGTCATGTTTGATTTCAGGCCTTCTTTGATGACTCTGTTGAAGCGTTCAATACCACCACTGCTCTGCGGATTGTATCGAGAGGTCTTCCGGTGTTGTATTCTCAGACCTGTGAGGAACTGTTCGAATTCATACTTGCAGAACTGTGGCCCATTGTTTTCATCTGTTTTGTTCTGCATAGTTTTAGCTTCTGAGATAGCTTCCTCAATCTGACATGCAAGTGTTGCAGCTTTTTCTATTGTCAATGTATCAGGTCCCATCAGTATTCTTTCACGAATTTGTTGGTGGCAAGTTTTCTCAATTAGCTGGTCACGAACAAGTTCATTTGTCAGAGCCCCAAAGTTGCATGTGGAGGCGAGTTCGCGTAATGCCCTTAAGAAGTCGCGAGTTGTCTCCCCTGGCAACTGGTCGCGATGACGAAAATGCCATCTTTCGAGAATAACGCTTGTTTTAGGACTGAACTGTTTCTTCAATGCATCTCTCGCACCGGTGTAACTATCAGCTTCTTCCAAAGAACGAAATATTCGCTGCCCTTCACGATCACTTCCCAGACAGTGAATCAAAATAGCACGCCGGCGATCTTCACTGACCGTCTTGTCGTCAGCGAGACCGCTAGCCACTATGAATTGCTCAATCTATCTATTCCACGGAATTGGCGGCTCACCTGGCGTTGCAAGAAAGGGGGACGGTGAACAAAGTCCGTAATCCGCCATCCTCGTCGCGAAAATATGTTGTGTACGAGGACGAAATGAAAGGAATCACACAACGAAGTGACTGAATTCTAGATTTACTCCAGAGCCAACTGAATTCTTACAAAACTCGTATAGGTTTATGAAAAGCAGAATGCACATCAATGGAAAGTGATTTTACATCATATTTAGAACACCACAAATGCTATGGCTAAAAGTATTCCGTTGTCTGGGTGTGCACTGGTATGTAGACATTGTGTGGAGGTGAGCAGTCGGGCCGGGTGGTATCGCTGAGTGTAACAGGGACTTGAATGATTAGGGACTACCACACAGGCAGGTCACGCTGGCATGACGAGACGCCCGCGGTGCAGTGCCGTAGCCAGCCATACCGTAGGACGTGTTGAGGTAAGTGTTGTGTCAGGATACTGTAGGACGTGTTCAGGTAAGTGTTGTGTCAGGATACTGCAGGACGTGTTGAGGTAAGTGTTGTGTCAGGATACTGTAGGACGTGTTGAGGTAAGTGTTGTGTCAGGATACTGTAGGACGTGTTGAGGTAAGTGTTGTGTCAGGATACTGTAGGACGTGTTGAGGTGAATGTTGTGTCCGGATACTGTAGGACGTGTTGAGGTAAGTGTTGTGTCCGGATACTGTAGGACGTGTTGAGGTAAGTGTTGTGTCAGGATACTGTAGGACTTGTTGAGGTAAGTGTTGTGTCAGGATACCGCAGCACGTGTTGAGGTAAGTGTTGTGTCAGGATACTGTAGGACGTGTTGAGGTACGTGTTGTGTCAGGATACTGTAGGACGTGTTGAGGTAAGTGTTGTGTCAGGATACTGTAGGACGTGTTGAGGTGAATGTTGTGTCAGGATACTGTAGGACGTGTTGAGGTGAGTGTTGTGTCAGGATACTGTAGGACGTGTTGAGGTAAGTGTTGTGTCAGGATACTGTAGGACGTGTTGAGGTAAGTATTGTGTCAGGATACTGTAGGACGTGTTGAGGTGAGTGTTGTGTCAGGATACTGTAACACGTGTTGAGGTAAGTGTTGTGTCAGGATACTGTAGGACGTGTTGAGGTAAGTGTTGTGTCAGGATACTGTAGGACCTGTTGAGGTAAGTGTTGTGTCAGGATACTGCAGGACGTGTTGTGGTAAGTGTTGTGTCAGGATACCGTAGGACGTGTTGAGGTTAGTGTCGTGTCAGGATACTGCAGCACGTGTTGAGGTAAGTGTTGTGTCAGGATACTGCAGGACGTGTTGTGGTGAGTGTTGTGTCAGGATACTGCAGCACGTGTTGAGGTTAGTGTTGTGTCAGGATACTGCAGCACGTGTTGAGGTAAGTGTTGTGTCAGGATACTGTAGTACGTATGGAGGTAAGTGTTGTGTCAGGATACTGCAGGACGTGTTGTGGTAAGTGTTGTGTCAGGATACTGTAGGACGTGTTGAGGTAAGTGTTGTGTGAGGATACTGCAGGACGTGTTGTGGTAAGTGTTGTGTCAGGATACTGTAGGACGTGTTTAGGTAAGTGTTGTGTGAGGATACTGTAGGACGTGTTGAGGTAAGTGTTGTGTCAGAATAATGTAGGACGTGTTGAGATAAGTGTTGTGTCAGGATATTGTACGGCGTGTTGAGGTAAGTGTTGTGTCAGGATAGTGTAGGAAGTGTTGAGGTAAGTGTTGTGTCAGGATATTGTACGGCGTGTTGAGGTAAGTGTTGTGTCAGGATACTGTAGGACGTGTTGAGGTAAGTGTTGTGTCAGGATATTGTACCGCGTGTTGAGGTAAGTGTTGTGTCAGGATAGTGTAGGAAGTGTTGAGGTAAATCTTGTGTCAGGATACTGTAGGACGTGTTGGGGTGAGTGTTGTGTCATGATACTGTATCACGTGTTGAGGTAAGTGTTGTGTCAGGATACTGTAACACGTGTTGATGTAAATCTTGTGTCAGGATACTGGGGGACGTGTTGAGGTGAGTGTTGTGTCAGGATACTGTAGGACATGTTGAGGCGAGTGTTGTGTCAGGATACTGTAACACGTGTTGAGGTAAGTGTTGTGTCAGGATACTGTAACACGTGTGGAGGTAAGTGTTGTGTCAGGATACTGCAGGACGTGTTGTGGTAAGTGTTGTGTCAGGATACTGTAGCACGTGTTGAGGTGAGTGTTGTGTCATGATACTGTAGGACGTGTTTAGGTAAGTGTTGTGTGAGGATACTGTAGGACGTGTTGAGGTAAGTGTTGTGTCAGAATACTGTAGGACGTGTTGAGATAAGTGTTGTGTCAGGATATTGTACGGCGTGTTGAGGTAAGTGTTGTGTCAGGATAGTGTAGGAAGTGTTGAGGTAAGTGTTGTGTCAGGATATTGTACGGCGTGTTGAGGTAAGTGTTGTGTCAGGATACTGTAGGACGTGTTGAGGTAAGTGTTGTGTCAGGATATTGTACGGCGTGTTGAGGTAAGTGTTGTGTCAGGATACTGTAGGACGTGTTGAGGTAAGTGTTGTGTCAGGATACTGTAGGACGTGTTGAGGTAAGTATTGTGTCAGGATACTGTAGGACGTGTTGAGGTGAGTGTTGTGTCAGGATACTGTAACACGTGTTGAGGTAAGTGTTGTGTCAGGATACTGTAGGACGTGTTGAGGTAAGTGTTGTGTCAGGATACTGTAGGACCTGTTGAGGTAAGTGTTGTGTCAGGATACTGCAGGACGTGTTGTGGTAAGTGTTGTGTCAGGATACCGTAGGACGTGTTGAGGTTAGTGTCGTGTCAGGATACTGCAGCACGTGTTGAGGTAAGTGTTGTGTCAGGATACTGCAGGACGTGTTGTGGTGAGTGTTGTGTCAGGATACTGCAGCACGTGTTGAGGTTAGTGTTGTGTCAGGATACTGCAGCACGTGTTGAGGTAAGTGTTGTGTCAGGATACTGTAGTACGTATGGAGGTAAGTGTTGTGTCAGGATACTGCAGGACGTGTTGTGGTAAGTGTTGTGTCAGGATACTGTAGGACGTGTTGAGGTAAGTGTTGTGTGAGGATACTGCAGGACGTGTTGTGGTAAGTGTTGTGTCAGGATACTGTAGGACGTGTTTAGGTAAGTGTTGTGTGAGGATACTGTAGGACGTGTTGAGGTAAGTGTTGTGTCAGAATAATGTAGGACGTGTTGAGATAAGTGTTGTGTCAGGATATTGTACGGCGTGTTGAGGTAAGTGTTGTGTCAGGATAGTGTAGGAAGTGTTGAGGTAAGTGTTGTGTCAGGATATTGTACGGCGTGTTGAGGTAAGTGTTGTGTCAGGATACTGTAGGACGTGTTGAGGTAAGTGTTGTGTCAGGATATTGTACCGCGTGTTGAGGTAAGTGTTGTGTCAGGATAGTGTAGGAAGTGTTGAGGTAAATCTTGTGTCAGGATACTGTAGGACGTGTTGGGATGAGTGTTGTGTCATGATACTGTATCACGTGTTGAGGTAAGTGTTGTGTCAGGATACTGTAACACGTGTTGATGTAAATCTTGTGTCAGGATACTGGGGGACGTGTTGAGGTGAGTGTTGTGTCAGGATACTGTAGGACATGTTGAGGCGAGTGTTGTGTCAGGATACTGTAACACGTGTTGAGGTAAGTGTTGTGTCAGGATACTGTAACACGTGTGGAGGTAAGTGTTGTGTCAGGATACTGCAGGACGTGTTGTGGTAAGTGTTGTGTCAGGATACTGTAGCACGTGTTGAGGTGAGTGTTGTGTCATGATACTGTAGGACGTGTTTAGGTAAGTGTTGTGTGAGGATACTGTAGGACGTGTTGAGGTAAGTGTTGTGTCAGAATACTGTAGGACGTGTTGAGATAAGTGTTGTGTCAGGATATTGTACGGCGTGTTGAGGTAAGTGTTGTGTCAGGATAGTGTAGGAAGTGTTGAGGTAAGTGTTGTGTCAGGATATTGTACGGCGTGTTGAGGTAAGTGTTGTGTCAGGATACTGTAGGACGTGTTGAGGTAAGTGTTGTGTCAGGATATTGTACGGCGTGTTGAGGTAAGTGTTGTGTCAGGATAGTGTAGGAAGTGTTGAGGTAAATCTTGTGTCAGGATACTGTAGGACGTGTTGGGGTGAGTTTTGTGTCAGGATACTTTAGCACGTGTTGAGGTAAGTGTTGTGTCATGATACTGTATCACGTGTTGAGGTAAATCTTGTGTCAGGATACTGGGGGACGTGTTGAGGTGAGTGTTGTGTCAGGATACTGTAGGACGTATTGTGGTAAGTGTTGTGTGAGGATACTGTAACACGTGTTGAGGTAAGTGTTGTGTCAGAATACTGAAGGGCGTGTTGAGGTGAGTGTTGTGTCAGGATACTGTAACACGTGTTGGGGTAAGTGTTGTGTCAGGATACTGTAACACGTGTTGAGGTAAGTGTTGTGTCAGGATACTGAAGCACGGGTTGAGGTGAGTGTTGTGTCAGGATACTGTAACACGTGTGGAGATAACTGTTCTTCTCAGGATACTGTAGCACGTGTTGAGGGAAGTGTTGTGTCGCGATACTGTAGGACGTGTTGAGGTGAGTGTTGTGTCAGGATACTGTAGGACGTGTTGAGGTAAGTGTTGTGTCAGGATACTGTAGCACGTGTTGAGGTGAGTGTTGTGTCAGGATACTGTAGGACGTGTTGAGGTAAGTGTTGTGTCAGGATACTGTAGGACGTGTTGAGGTAAGTGTTGTGTCAGGGTATTGTAGCACGTGTTGAGGTAAGTGTTGTGTCCGGATACTGTAGGACATGTTGAGGTAAGTGTTGTGTCAGGATATTGTAGCACGTGTTGAGGTAAGTGTTGTGTCAGGATATTGTAGCACATGTTGAGTTAAGTGTTGTGTCAGGGTACTGTAGCACGTGTTGAGGTAAGTGTTGTGTCAGGATACTGCAGGACGTGTTGAGGTAAGTGTTGTGTCAGGATACTGTAGCACGTGTTGAGGTAAGAGTTGTGTCTGGATACTGTAGCACGTGTTGAGGTAAATGTTCTGTGACTTGACATGACTTGAGTATACCCAATAAATAATAATAATATGGTTTAATTAAAAAAAACACCTTTCAATATGCATATCAACACAACGGGGAAATAATATTAAAACTGAATGCACAGGTCAAATGGTTAGGAGTAATAGTTCCTCATATTCACAAAACAATTGATTACGCACCGATAAATCTATTCACGCTTCACGAGTCACGCTTATGCGCCACACAAAGGGACTTTCAGCAATGCACACCGACATATTGGCGGCATAGGCATAGCACCCGGAGATACTATGCTGCAGTCTAACATGAATACCCAACTCAGACACAGTATACTGACTCCGAGCCGACCAGTCCTTAGGCCCTTACTGCCGAGCGCCAGACAAAGGGACTTTCAGCAATGCACACCGACATATTGGCGGCATAGGCATACAATCAATGAATAATTATAAACGTTAACAAGAGCGTTATGGATTGGTGAACATAATCGCTAGCAATTAAAATATATTACAAGAAAGCGACGCCAGCCAAAATGGTTGCTTCAATAACAGGTGGACAATTAGAAGATAGCGACGTGCATGCATGTGTGTGTGTGGCTGCTTGTGCCGATTTATAGTGCTAGCACAGGGAGATAACATGCCGTAGTCTAACATAAATACCCAACTCAGACACAGTATACTGACTCTGAGCCGACCAGTCCTTGTTTTAGCCCCTTACTGCCGAGCGCCAGAGAGGGTAACAACAAGTACCACTATGTGTCAGTCTCCACCTACAGACCACCATCAACACACCATGTCAGTGTCTCCACCTACAGACCAGCATCACCACACTATGTAAGTGTCTCCACCTACACACCACCAACACTACTACACGTCAGTGTCTCCACCTACAGACCACCAACACTACTACATGTCAGTGTCTCCACCTACAGACCACCATCACTACTACGTGTCACTGCCTCCACCTACAGACCACCATCACTACTGCATGTCAGTGTCTCCACCTACAGACCACCACCACCACTACATGTCAGTGACTCCACCTACAAACCACCATCACCACACCATGTCAGTGTCTCCACCTACAGACCAACGTCACTACTACATGTCAGTGTCTACACCTACAAAACACCATCACTACTACATGTCAGTGTCTTCACCTACAGACCACCACCACCACCACATGTCAGTGTCTCCACCTACAGATCACCATCACTACTACATGTCAGTGTCTCAACCTACAGACCACCACCACCACTATGTGTCAGTGTCTCCACCTACAGACCAAAATCAGCACACCATGTCAGTGTCTCCACCTACAGACCACCATCACTACTACATGTCAATGTCTTCACCTACAGACCACCATCACTACTACATGTCAGTGTCTCAACCTACAGACCACCATCACTACTACGTGTCAGTGTCTCCACCTACAGACCACCATCACTACTACATGTCAGTGTCTTCACCTACAGACCACCACCACCACTATGTGTCAGTGTCTCCACCTACAGACCAAAATCAGCACACCATGTCAGTGTCTCCACCTACAGACCACCATCACTACTACATGTCAATGTCTCCACCTACAGACCACCATCACTACTACATGTGAGTGTCTCAACCTACAGACCACCATCACTACTACGTGTCAGTGTCTCCACCTACAGACCACCATCACTACTACATGTCAGTGTCTCCACCTACAGACCACCATCACTATGTGCCAGTGTCTCCACCTACAGACCACCATCACCACCACATGCCAGTGTCTCCACCTACAGACCACCACCACCACTACATGTCAGTGTCTCCACCTACAGACCACCACAACCACTACATGTCAGTGTCTCCACCTACAGACCACCACCACTACATGTCAGTGTCTCCACCTACAGACCACCATCACTACTACATGTCAGTGTCTCCACCTACAGACCACCATCACAACACCATGTGAGTGTCTCCACCTACAGACCACCATCACGACTACATGTCAGTGTCTCCACCTACAGACCACCACCACTACATGTCAGTGTCTCCACCTACAGACCACCATCACTACTACATGTCAGTGTCTCAACCTACAGACCACCATCACCACTATGTGTCAGTGTCTCCACCTACAGACCATAATCAGCACACCATGTCAGTGTCTCCACCTACAGACCACCATCACTACTACATGTCAGTGTCTACACCTACAAAACACCATCACTATGTGTCAGTGTCTCCACCTACAGACCACCATCAGCACACCATGTCAGTGTCTCCACCTAAAGACCACCACCATCACTACGACATGTCAGTGTCTCCACCTAAAGACCACCACCATCACTACGACATGTCAGTGTCTCCACCTAAAGACCACCACCATCACTACATGTCATTGTCTCAACCTTCAGACCACCATCACCAATATGTGTCAGTGTCTCCACCTACAGACCACCACCACTATGTGTCAGTGTCTCCACCTACAGACCACCACCACCACTATGTGTCAGTGTCTCCACCTACAGACCACCACCACCACTATGTGTCAGTGTCTCCACCTACAGACCACCACCACCACTATGTGTCAGTGTCTCCACCTACAGACCACCATCACCACCACATGCCAGTGTCTCCACCTACAGACCACCACCACCACTACATGTCAGTGTCTCCACCTACAGACCACCACAACCACTACATGTCAGTGTCTCAACCTACAGACCACCATCACAACACCATGTCAGTGTCTACACCTACAGACCACCATCACTACTACATGTCAGTGTCTCCACCTATAGACCACCACCACTACATGTCAGTGTCTCCACCTACAGACCACCACCACCACCACATGTCAGTGTCTCCACCTACAGACCACCATCACCACCACATGTCAGTGTCTCCACCTACAGACCACCATCACAACACCATGTCAGTGTCTCCACCTACAGACCACCATCACTACTACACGTCATTGTCTCCATCTACAGACCACCATCACTACTACACGTCAGTGTCTCCACCTTCAGACCACCATCACCACCACATGTCAGTGTCTCAACCTACAGACCACCATCACTACTACATGTCAGTGTCTCCATCTACAGACCACCATCACTACACCATGTGAGTGTCTCCACCTACAGACCACCATCACCACCACATGTCAGTGTCTCCATCTACAGACCACCACCACCACCACATGTCAGTGTCTCCACCTACAGACCACCATCACCACCACATGTCAGTGTCTCCACCTACAGACCACCATCACCACCACATGTCAGTGTCTCCACCTACAGACCACCACCACCACCACCACATGTCTGTGTCTCAACCTACAGACCACCATCACCACCACATGTCAGTGTCTCCACCTACAGACCACCATCACCACCACATGTCAGTGTCTCCACCTACAGACCACCACCACCACTATGTGTCAGTGTCTCCACCTACAGACCACCATCACCACCACATGTCAGTGTCACCACCTACAGACCACCATCACTACTACATGTCAGTGTCTCCACCTACAGACCACCATCACCACCACATGTCAGTGTCACCACCTACAGACCACCATCACTACTATGTGTCAGTGTCTCCACCTACAGACCACCACCACCACTATGTGTCAGTGTCTCCATTTCTCAGCGACAATTCATTGACTCGATAGCCAGGTATTAAGACGGTTATACCCATACGTGAATCAATGACGTCTGCAAGGTGAATAGTGCCCTACTCAAATCCTTTTCGAGATCGCAGTTCTTTTTGTCATATGCGACAATGACGCCTCGCATACAAACTAATAATACTACCGTGCAGATTTTAGCAAAACATCAGCCCACTCATTCAAGGCACATTCATTATTTTGCAGCTTGCTGTGTGCATAAACCGTTACGGGGCCAGGGTGTAGCTTTTTAGCTGTAGATATTCCGGTCTGGCCTAGACGGATAACTTCGACAAGTCCTTCAGCTGTCTTCTCTCACGCTGAAGGTATGTGCTCAATCGTTACTTGTATAATTTGTGTTACAATTTGCTTAAAACGTACTCTGTGTTTTAAAGGTATATCATTTTAACCAGTTTCATATACCAGGACAATACACTTATGTAGTATACGTACTGAGAAGAGGCACGCATGCCCAACAGTTACGAACAGGAGTGTGAGATGACTAAAACGGAAAAGAAATTATTCAAATAATGTTCCTCGGTGCGTGTTTCTTAATCGCACAAACATAATATGATTCAGTTATATGTTTTTACCGAGTGACGATAGAGCCATGTGATATGGTGTCAAGTTTGTATCTCCAACCCCCATGACTAGTTTTGTCTGTATTAATGCACCTTATAATGCTAATGTGGATCATTTCCGGGTGGTTGCTATGGCAATTATATGACGTCGAATCGATTTATGTTCATTTTTATCCTTACCACAGGCGGATATTTAGACTCCTGGATACAATGAAGCCAAATGCAACAGTTTCCGGATTTGTGTTTGGAATAGGATGTGTCGCCCTTCTTCTTATGCTCTATAATACGCAGGTAAGTTGCTGTCAAATCTACTTCACGCTCGATACAGCTTCTTAGGAGAAGGAGAGGTGTACACGGAATTATAAAACGGGTAGAATGGATGGATGTTACTTGCTTATAATCCGGGAAATAAATTGCGTTTTTTACCCAAACAGTGGTTAACGAACATGATTAGCAGTATGTTTGAAATAAGAGGGGTGGGGGGTGCGCACCCCGGGACCCCCTTTCTGTGTCTACATGTGTATTGGGTCACTTCGGCTGGTGGTGTGGTGGTAGGGATATTGGTGTTGGTCACTGACAGACTGTAAGGATCCAAATAACATTATGTTTTATAAACCATTAGGAAAGCCAGCACATTTAGCGTATAATTTTATTCACTATTTGTAAAACCTGAGGCCAAAATATCTTTTTTTATATCTTGTTGATAGCTCGGACCGACAGGGCTCAATCACAAAACCAGATTTTGCACCAATAACTCTTTACAACGAAATACTACGGAAATTAGCAATCTCCTTACAACAAAACTATCATTGTCTTTCAAATAAAACATTAATGTGTGAAGAAATATTACACAAGACATATTTTTACACAAACTATTTATTCATATACCGTTTATCAAAACAATGCAAACATTGTTTTTTTATAGATCTGTTATTAGCGATACCGATTAAATATTAGTATGGTCGAGGACGGCAGTATACAAATTAACAGTCTCGTTAAAACAAAGGCATTACAGAGATGGTTAGTCAAGTTATCAAACAAAACTGAATCCATAACAATTGTAGATATAACCTTTATACAGAATACATAAGTATGTTAGAACCAGAAAATATATTTATGCTGTAGGTGTAGCAAAGCTTCGAAACATTTTAGAGAATTTCAGAGGGGAGCAGAAAAAAGAAGGAAGATATTCGATGTACGTGTATAAGAAAGTGTCCTAATTGTGATCGAGTTATAAAGGCTGAATAAAATCCTTTACTTCTTTGTCTATTTTTGACGGTATTAGAATGACATATTTAAATATGTGTCACAAATGCATTTGTTACAAACGATCCTGAACAAATCAAATCTTTTTGCCTGTTTATCATCCTTTTTAAAGAAGAAAGTATTTTCGAAACAATATTCAAAAACTTATGTATATTGCCACTAGAATGTGAATTGTTATTTGTATATGAACCTGTGATTGGTTTGTTGGTTGGTCAGTTTATTTGATGGATGGATGGATGGATGGATGGATGGATTGATGGATGGATGGATGGATGGATGGATGGGATGAATAATCCATTCAATTATTAGTGTGTCAAGTATCAACACTGCATACTATGTTTTCAATATAGAGTTAATCTTTTAGTTAGTCTTCTGTCTGTCTGTAATCTTTTTTATGCAAACAAAATGGTTGAATACACATCCTTTTTAATGGTTTGACTGGTATATGTTGTTTCTTTTGTGTACAAATTGATATTTTTTACTGAGTTACTATTGTGAGAAAACAAAGGTACAGACATTTTGAGTAATCTATAAAATGTGTTTACAAGTGAATCAAAGCGACAAACACTTTGCCATGATGACAATAACTCTCTGCTATAAGCAGAGTCCATTATGCGATTCATTAGCATGTGTTTATGCATAACTTAGGAGATCAACCCACTGTGTTTTGAAATTTGATGTAGTCCTGCTGTAGATTAGACACCCCTTATCTTAATTTGGAAACGTGCCCTGTTATTGGTAATCATCGCGACAAGTCATTTCGTGGAAATATATCCCATTGCAGGGGTAACTGGTTATGGAAATAGTGACACAAATGCAAACTTTATTGAATAACAGGATTATGCACATTTGGAAGTATACTTTTGTAGCACTTGGTTTGAGATATCTCCCAACAGTAATTCAGTAATTCATATTATCAATCTCCCCACCCATACTTCGACCTGTTTTAACTTGACATACTTCAGTTTCCATAGCGCTGTCCTTGGTTGCCAAAACATGTGCTTGCATTGACAGTGCTCTTTACAAATTCCATAGGGCATGTAGCACATTAATCTCGTTCCCGGGTTTGATTTTCTCCGTCAAGTCTGGCCACATGGCCCATGGTATAGTTGTAATATAAATAACATTTTAGGTCACACGTCCAGAGGGTTACATCTCTGTCGATCTCATTTTAAATAATTTATATAAATATAAAGCTATCAAGCGTAGTAAATTAATATCACGTAATTTAAATTTGCAAACGTAACATTACCTTTATATTATTTCTGTAATGAGGTATGAAGAAGTATTTCTCAAGTGAATATATTTCGTACATACAAAAAAGACATGGTATTCATCCTCTACTACATGAAGGTCACATTCTTTATATATAGATTCTGTATCAGGTATATTTAAGAATTGAACGTCAGTTTGGATTGGTTCATTGAAGTGTGAACGATTTAAAAGCGCTGGTTAAACTGTGTGAATCTCCGAGCTTTATCAATGTGTTGCTTGTGTTTGGATAATCGCAAACCATTTCGGACGATGGGGAATGGCTCTGAATCTTGTTTTGTGTTAATTTTCAACGTCAGGGTGTGTTATATTTTGGATTTGTCGCGTGTGCTGTGATACTTTGCTTAGCTGGTGTTTCTTGTCACCTGAGATGGGCCTACTGTGTGACCTGATGCCAGCTTCATTACTGTGCCCCGTCACACCTCATGTGCCGCGCCGCTTCTCGGCCAAGAACGCACGGAGAAGGTTGCCCAGTTCAGAAACCGGAATAGTAGATTTCTAATTCTGTCTAAGGATATTTTCTCGTCCCCGATGGCCAATCGATAAAACAGGTAGGCAAGTTGTTTTTATGGTATTTTTTTTTAGGGGGGGGGGGGGGGGGGGGGGGGGGGGGGATTTAAGTTTCTTTCCTTATCTTTTTGTGTTTTATGGTTTCTCAAAATCTTAGATATTTTCCCCGATACGATAGTGAATTGGATTTTAGTTTGGGATTGATCAGGAGCAGTCGCGTTTGCTCTGTGTCAGCGGCCACATCTGAGCAGGGTACGACATTGTTTTCATTGGTGCTAGATTCCTGTCATTTCCGAAAACAGGGGATCAAAGTCAATATCGCTCAATAAATCAATTTCGTTCACCTAAGTAATTTTACAGAATTAGTTTTCTTCACTTGCGTTATTAGAATTGAAGATAGTCATTCCATATCCAAATCACCGCAAAGACAATCCATTTTGTTTCATGTAGCAGCTAGACGACATCAATCACCAGAACCAAAGCATTTATTTATTTATAAGTCAGATGAAATGTTACAAGACCAGGCAAAAATACTAAATTAATTATATTGCTGATAAATGCAGGTATTAAAAAGAAAATAGAAAAACGAGTTCATCGTAAACACCGATAGAGAATTCGGGGAAACCCCTGAAAGTAGTTCCGGCAAAAGTTCACACGATCAATTTCACAAAAAATTGTTCACATCGTGTGAACTTTGTTTGTTCGTTCACAGGTGTGTGAACTCCAAATATCAGATCACGTGACTACCCCTTCAGCCAATCAGCATGAAAGAAACAGTGTAAAGTTCAAAGTATGAAATTATTTAACAATGACCTTTAACGAATAATGTTGACTCAAAAGTAGTGAAGATATATTCGAAATTTACACATTGCTCTAACTAATCGTTTGTCTCTGAGTACTGTTTTGTATAATTCGGGTTGCAGAAGAGATTTTATACTAGCATAATGCATTAAAAAAGTAGACGACTCTAAACTGTGGTACCATGATTGGAAATATGTTTCTCTTAAGCATCTTCTAAATGCAGATAAAACATGTTATTATCACCAACATCTTAGAATAACCACACATACACAACACCGCTATGAAATAACATTTGTCTCACATACGATGCCCAAATGACTTTTCCATTCTCATCTACTTTAAGCATAACACAACTTTGGAAAGGGTATCGATTTGCAAAAGCTTAATCAAGAACTTAATTACCCTTATTTGCGCATTTATAAACGTATACTGAAAGGCAAAAAAAACGTCACTTAAAATACTGATAAAACTTAACAGACACTGGCAGTAACATGTTCTGTGGTCAATAAACTCATTTATCGTTCTACTGCTTCTTTTTGTTGCCTTAAAGTCCATTTAACAATTGAGTTTAAAATGGAGTGCTTTGCCCAAACGCAGCCTACAAAAGTGCAATGGGACTCAGTTGCGGAAAAGTCTTGTCAAAAACATGATGCACGTGCATATCGTGAATGGTATGGGTATAAAAGACACCCAAAACCGTTAAGCTGGCTTTCGTTATTTCGATTCATCAGCAATGCCAAGATTATCAGGAAATGAGAGACAACAAGGGATCGGAAGACTGGCAGGCCAGAGTGCACAGGTCGTTGCAAATGCATTCAATGTCAACGTCAGAACGATATATCGTTTGCAACATCGCCACAACACCACCAACACCACCGACGACCGACCGCGTAGTGGTCGTCCTAGAGTCACTACCCCAAGACAAGATCGGTTCATGATACGCCAACATCTGCAGAACCGATTCCGAATGGCCACTGAAACAGCTCGGCAAACCATTGACAACCACCAGCGTGCCATCAGTGATCGTACAGTCCGACGTCGCCTAACTGCCAACAACATCTCGTGCCACCGTCCTGCTCGTGTACCTATTCTGAGATATCGTCACCGACAGGCCCCGACTGCAATGGGCCGGGCAGCATCAAAATTGGCGTCAACAGCAATGGAGAAGAATCATCTTCACTGATGAAAGTCGCTACTGTGTTTCAACGGTGGATGGCCGAGTCAGGGTCTGGCGAAGGAGGGGCGAACGTTATGCTGATTTTTTTGTTATGGACCGAGACCCGTGGGGCGGCCCAAGCATCATGGTTTGGGGTGGAATCGGACTGAACCAAAGCGTGGGACCTGTGGTCTTTCAGAATATTGTTTCAGGCAGGGGTAATGGAATCACAGCTCTCCGCTACATTGACCAAGTCCTCAGACCCCATATCGTGCCTTTTTTTGCCCGTCAT